TACCATTTCTATAGTTCAGAGTTTTAACCTCTCAAGATCCAGCCCAAGAAATATTTAGGTATTTATAAAGTGTCTAATGAAAATTAATTTTGAGTAATCATACCACGTCACACATTTGTAGAACAGAAAAAGAAAGAATTAACTCAACACATATTCAAATCTGAATGGCCAAAGATTCTAAGAAACATAACAGTAGCCAGATCAGAGTAATTGAAATTGCACCATGTTAATTAGAATGAGGCAAGTTATGTAAATATGGAATACAGACTGATATAACAATACCAGCCAATTTTAATTTTACTAAATATAAGATTTTTTTTCCTAGAGCATTTAGCACAAGATAACAATATTATTTCAGTACTGTGTGATGTCTTGAAACAGAAAAATCTTAGTTATGTGTTTTTATGCAGTGGTCCGGTGAAGTGGCAATGCGGTACTTGTACTGTTTTAAAAATTATTTTTAAAAATCCCATAAAATTAGAATATAGGATTATATTATAAAAGTGAGTTTTTATAGAACTCAGTGTGAAAGAAGTCCTTGTAGACTGTCCTGACAGTCTCATTATAATGCTTAATAATATTCTCACACAGCTGAATTTTAAATAACCAACCTATAAAGAGAATTTTCGAATGAGATGCATTCATAAATCAGTAGTGGCTGTTACCTGTGCTTCTCCATAAGTAATGACATTCTTAAACCTTCATAAAGATATTTTATTGAAATTCTGGAAAACATTATAATATGCTATAATATTCATCAAACATCCTTCAGTGAATTTGGGACTTCATTTTATCTGTAATTTCTGTTCTTGCTGATACATATATACATCAAAGTGTTATGTCCTAAAAAGCCTTCGAAAAAATAGCCCTCCTAAATCCTATATTTTCTATTTAATCTCAGAGTATATGAGTATGAATTGTATACATCAGCACATGTAAGCTACTTATATTATGGCATGCAATCAAATATAAAACTTACTCATACTCATTTTGTCACTGGAACCTGAATTTTCCAACTTCAGGTAGCACATAATTCATATATAACCATGAGAGTTGAGCTCAATAAATGTTAAAGTCTAGTCTTGATTCTGTAAGAGTTTCAACTACTATTTCAACTTTAAAATCATGAAATTTTTTTTAAACTGGGAAAATTTGTTTATTAACAAAGATGTTTTACAGTTTCATGGTGACGCGTTAGAGGCAGTTTATTGCCAACGAGTTCCTCATTCTGTAAAAATAATTGCTAAAAATGTGTCTTTAAGTTGAAACCTATTGGTCAATGAAGTTGATATCCAAAGCTTTCAAATGAATACTAATATTTTCCTTCAAAAAAATGAAAATTGTTGGTTATGGCATGATGGTTCAGCGGTGAAATCCCCACCTTGCAGCGGCCGGGATCTCTTACAGGTGCTCGTTTGGGTCCCGGTTGCTGTACTTTCTACTCGGCTTCCTGCTTGTGGCCTGGGAAAGCAATTGAAGACACCCTAAACCTTTGGGACCCTGAATTCCTTTGGAGACCCAGAAGAAGCTCTTGGCTCCTGGTTTTGGACTGACTCAGCTCCCACCATGTTGGGCAGGTATATTACAGAGAAGCTAGACATCAAATGATGACTATAACTTTGTAATTCTCCTGAGTATGAAAATTAGTTATACAAAACAAACCCACCCAATCAGTAGGAACTTCAGTTAGAAATGACCAAATGCAGGGATGTAGTTTGAAAATGCAGTCCTTTTCAACACAACTGTCGTTTCTCCTTCTAGATAATCCTATGGTCTTCTCACATTTATGATAGGTTTTGTAAGGTCATTTTCCCTTATTTAATCCCTAGAGTTTTGATGTTCTAGAGAAAGTCCTACCATACTTTGATTAGCCGTGGGCCACCTATATCTCTAAAACCCCTTCCCTACCACATTCCTAGGGGATCCATTATCATAAAGCTATTGCCTGTCCATAAACACACCCCACTTTCAATACATAGCATTTACATCACCTTGGATTTGGACTGCTGATTTGGTCTCTTGATCCTTTTTGCATATGGCAGGGGATTTCTATGCACCAGGTTTTTTTTAATAACTTATTTTGTTAGTATGAAAGACAAAAATCTGCTCTCCTGAATCATTAAGTATCTCGTTTATTGTGTAATTGGACTTGTCAAAAAAAATCTACAGTATTTCTTTATAAAATATCACCTCAATTTATTTCCTTGTTCTTATAAGTGTGAAAAAAGGAACACATCAAATCCAGATTTGTAGTCAACCCATAACAAGTTCGTACAAAGGGATCTAAGCATTTTTTCACACCCCAAGCTGCGTGTATAAACCATATGCTCACAACCATGGCCTGCTCACAGCCATGGGCTGCTCACAACTACTTTTTTTCTGATTTTTTTCTACTTGACATGTAATTCCACCTTCTTGAGTTCATTCATGTGTACAATTTTATGTTAGGTACTATATAACATAATTAGTGTTGGATATTGTAAGTTGCTTGTTTGTCCAAATAATAGGTATTTTTATTATGTTTTACACTCCTAAGCTACGTGTTCCAATCCTTATTTCTTTAACTCCAAAGGCAAACTGTAGTTTTTAAAATTCAAGGATTCTATATCTATCTTTATTTATACAGTTTTATATTACTCAAAACTATCAAAGTTTTCACATTTTTCTATGATATCTACCTTCTATAAAATGAAGAAATAGACATTGCAAACCTCTCTCCCTCAGAGTGTCTAATGTCTCCTGCTACAGTACAAGGTCAGTGTGGCCAGCTTTTCTTTCACAGCGAAGGTCACTGCGTTGGGAGTCCTGGGTGACAGGCATTCGGTTTACTCAGAACAACCAAAGGCAACAAGGTCAAAAGCAATCTGTGTAGTGTTCAAAACATTACATTTTGTCAAAATATAGGTCTTTGGGCAAGTTTGGAGCTCTAACAAGCCTTGATATATTCAATTAAATGATGATGCCTCGTTAGAAGGCAGCCTTCAGATTGTTAATAATGCAGTGAATTCTAAGGAGTGGTTGGAAACCACCTTATACAGTGAACTGCACAGCAACAAGTGGCATAGCAAAGTCAACACCTTAGAAGAAAACATTCACAATATTTTATTTTGTTTTGTTTTGTTAAATTTTCCATGATATACATGCTATTTTCCACAGAAAATATACAAACAGTTGGCAAATAGCTTTGGTTTCATTATCCTTCGTTGACAAATCATATGTGATCATATGAGTGAACTTTCCAGTTTTTATTTATCATCCGCTGTTCAGGAAAGAATAAACTTTGTTCAGTGTTTTAAAAAATATATATATTCTCCAAGACAAATGTCAGTTTATTTTATCAAAAATAATTAAATGAAACTGAGTACATACACAAACTAATTGTAAAACAAGATGAATGATAACAAGATATAAAGAGTAAGGTATATGTTGAAATGTCAGTGTGGAAACAGTGACTAAATTATGAATATATTCCCGTGGTTTGAAACATTTCTTGTCTTCTTCAGCTACAATTAAATGCTGGTAATAGAGTTTAACTACATACTTGGCAATTTCCCAGAAGAAACAAACTTCCTGTTTGAAACTTCAACCATGACCATCGTGCTATCAGGAGCTTCTGGTATTTTCATTTCTGATCTATCTCAACTTTCTTTCTTTGTGTTTTTAGTGAGTCAAACACTTCTCAAACTATTGTAATGTATCTTTTATTCATGTTCTAGTCAAGGAAGCTAAATATATGACTGTGCACAGCAGGTGAAAAATTATAGTTTTTGCTATTTTTTTGTTTTATTCTTTTTTTTTAAGATTTGTTTCTTTTTATTAGAAAGGCAGATATACAAAGAGGAGAAGACACGAAGAGGAAGGTCTTCCATCCAATGATTCACTCGCCAAGCAGCCGCAAGGGCTAGAGCTGAGCCGATCTGAAGCTAGGAGCCAGGTCTTCTCCATGTCTTCTCCAGCCAACTTCCTCCAGGTCTCCTACGCAGGTGCAGGGTCCCAAAGTTTTGGGCTGTCCTCGACTGCTTTCCCAGGCCACAATCCGGGAGCTGGGATGGGAGGTGGAGCCATCGGGATTAGAACTGGCACCCAGATGGGATCCCAGCACGAACAAGGCAAGGACTTTAGCCACTACTCTATCATGCCGGGCCCTGCTTTATTCCTAACATCAAAGATACTTTGGCATTGGCTGTAAGTTAGGAATAATCACAGTAAATAAATGTTCTGATTATAGAAAAACTGAGATATCAATAAATAAGTAAATATTGTGAGTGTCAGAAACATTAGGTCGCTGAAGTAAGCTAAGGAGATAGTGAATTAATTAAAAAGAGAGATTCTGTGGACACTCTAGAAATAGGACTGAGGGATGAACTGAACACAGCATTGAACACAAATAGGGAGTCACTTCATCTGTTACTGTTGGCTGATGACTGTTATTGACAAATTGCCAATGATGCTGTAAGAACAGAATTACGCCCGTAGAGATTGTGTCGTCCTTCTTTCGTCTTTTCCTCATCGTGTCTTGATCAGTTTAGACTGCACGTAAGGCAGCAAGGAGCTCTGCTTGTATGATCTTAAGAAATAGAAGCACTGAGAAGCACTCTATTTCTCAGTGTAATCATTAATGCTAACCATCAATATTTATCAAAATATTTTAAAAATTGATTATTTATTACAATTGCATTTTGTTTTGCTCTGCATATCACACTGGAGTTTTCAAATATACCCAGGAAATTAAACCATAGCTGCCTTATTAGCAGTGTGTCACTGATGACATTTCATCATTAACATACAACATCACATTTTGATGATTATCACGCCAATTTTTACATGTAATATTTTTGATATATGGTCTTTCTTACTGCATTCCACTGAAAAATGGTATACGGTGATTTCTGAGCATCATATTTAGTCAAGGATTTTCATGATTTGTAGTGATATGGAAAGTTGTTGGAGAAAAATAGCTGTGACTTTCAGGTTCTATATTTAGCACGTAAAGCTCTTACCTTGCCCACATATTGTGTATCTGTACCTGTGTACTCTTCCAGCAAGAAGAACTGATTCCACATCCACCCACGCTTGGTGCGATGCAACATTTTATCAGCATCTTTTACCGGGCCTGCTATCTTCTGGCTTGGAAAGTCACTGCTAGTCTTTTCTTGCAATGGGATGGTGTCAAATGTTTGGAACAGATACATCCAGATGACTAATGGCAGGCAATGGTAAGTCCTCATTATCTGTGGCTTTTGCAGGATGCCAAATTCAATGTTTGTCTCTTTTTCCTAAAGAGTAAGAAAGAAAAGATTTTATAAGGTTGTACTTCACTTTCAACTGCCTGTAAGCTGGAAGAATATTAATTTTTTTAAAAGTTCATAAATATTAGGTATGCGTTACTTTCTTATACGACAGCTGTGATCAAAGAGGTCAGCAGCATATGTTATGTTCACGGGTGGGTTGTTAAAGCAAACACTATGAACTTAGCGTTTGACTTGCAGGGAACTTAGTAAATTGTATAGGGGATGTGATTAGAACTCTTTATTTCGGTGTAAAGATGTTTAAATTCATGCTTATTGGAAAGATACGCAAAAAGTTTATGCAAAATGTGTGTTATAAACATGTTATGCACAGTCTTCAAAAATTTTAACTGGACACACATAGGAACCAAGGGAGGGAAGGAGTTACAGCTGATAGCGGAAATGTGGAGGGCCCCGCTGCTGGAACACCACTGCCACTACAGAGTGCGATGTAGGATGCGGCAGACCAGACCAGACAGCGCTACAACACCTGTGGCCCTCATGTGAGCTAGATCAGGGAAAAGCCAGGCTTGCTCAACTGTCCCTACTGGTGCAAGCATAAATCAGAATGGCTGAGGGTTGGTTGGGTTTTGCCACAGCATCAGCCAGCAGATGCTGCCACTGGATGTTAATTCTGTCAAGGTAAATTGCAGAACCATCTGGAAAGTGCATGATCTGGGAGTGGACCCAGGAGGGAGACAGCAGGCACCTCCCTTTTGGGTTATCACTCCCACTGTAGAGCATGAAAACCAGGACTGGGGCAGATCTAACTGGATAGAATAGCACCTGCCAGCCTGTGTGTGGGCAGGATAGTAGGCCTGGTTGGGTTGAATCAGGTTCCATCCATGAAGAGAAGTGCAGGTTCCATGGTCAGATCATGGAGTACAAGTATCAAAGCTTAGCCTCAGAGGCTCAGATGGAAGGAGCAGTGTACAGCAAACCCAGGTGCACATGGAGGATGTGGCAGTCCATCACAACCTACAGAGGACCCCTGGTACCACAACAGAGGATAGAGGACAGAACAAATCCATCAACTACCCTAGCCATGTGCTGGTAGCAAAAATCTGGGCAAACAGAGACTCTAAGTTGAACTATGTCAACCAGGGGATTCTGCAGCGATTTCATTGTGCTTGGAATGGTGAGATTGGCAGCAATTTAGAGTTGTTGAATTCTCAAAGCCACTTGAGAAGGTCCCTTGGAGCATGGCCCACATCAGGGACATGGGATGGGTGGGAGGTAGGGTGGGGCTTCTCCCTTTATCTCCTCCTTTACCCCAGATACAGAAAAAAAAAAAGTGTGGAAACAATAGTCTTACCCAGTTTCCTGTAGCCCTTGATTCATTGTGCCCTAATCAAAGGTAAAGATTGTCAAAATTATTTCAAAATTTTGAAAAAATAGCTGGAAAGTAAACCTTTATTACTTTACATTTTTTAGTTTTTATTTGGAAAGCAGAGTTTCAGAGAGCAGGAGAGACAGAGAGATCTTCCATGGTCATGTTTACTTTGCTCAACTGACAACAATAGCCATGGTTGTGCTGACCCCAAACTGGGAGCCTCTTCTAGTCTCCCTCATGGCTTCACAGGACACTTGAGTCTCCTCTGCTGCATTTCCAGGCTGCAAAGAGCCAGCTAGAAAGAACCTGGAACTTCCAGAATACAGATGTGCCCATAAAGGATGCAGGTGCTGCATGCCGAGGCTGTCTGTCACACCATGTAGGCAGCCCGCACAGCTACACTGTACAAACAATTTGGTGAAGAGTCTGCTGAAATTTCTTTAAGAATAAAGTCTGTGCTGTGAAAGAAAATATTGCTCACAATTATCAAACATTGCATGCTTATATCAAAACAATAAGAAAGGGCAGTCACCACGGATGTTTTCAAATTGGGTACAACGTAAGTATGGTGTAATTTGATTCAGAATTTTTAGACAATATCTCCCTGCTGAGATATAAATGTAGTTATTCCAAAATTAAAATTATAAGTTATTTGATCTTTCAGAAGCTGGTAGCCACTGAACCAGATCATGTTCCACATTGCAAATTAGTGATGGTACAGTTGTCAACGAGTGGCCTGAGAACGGAAGTTATAATTCTTCTCTCAATTTGGTAAAATACAGTAAAGCTCATAGGCAAGTAAGCCAGTTTTTCTCAAAGGAAAGTTTCTTCCAGGCATTGAGCTTACTGACAGATCTTGCAAGAGAAATTAGAGATTGCTTTCATATCTTCAGATGTCTTCTAAATAAGTAATATACTTTCTAGGAAATATAGTCTTTGAGAGGAAGCATCTAGCTGTACGACAGTGCCAGAGAGAGGCAGAACAATGTAAACCAGAGGAAGAAATGTGTGTCAGTTTCCAATGCAATGAAAAATCATTGTACAATTTTAGAGCTACATTGTCAGAAGTTGTGAAACTGGATATAGATTGGCAAATAGGTTATAGGACAGGAAAGAATCATGATTAAGAAGGAAGTGAATTAAGCCCATTTCTTTTTTTTTAAAGATTTATTTATTTTTATTGGAAAGTCAGATATACATAAAGGAGGTGAGACAGAGAAGATCTTCCGTCTGATGATTCACTCCCCAAGTGACAGCAACAGCCAATGCTGTGCCTATCCGAAGCCAGGAGCCAGGAATCTCCTCCAGGTCTCCCATGTGGGTGCAGGGTCCCAAGGGTTTGGACTGTCTTTGACTGCTTTCCCAGGCCACAAGCAGGGAGCTGGGTCGGAAGTAGAGCTGCTGCAATTACAATCAGCACCCATATGGGATCCCAGTGCGTTCAGGGTGAAGACTTTAGCCACTAGGCCACACCACAGGACCCAAGCCCATTTCTTTAATCCAGAAAGAAAGGATGATGACATACCAAGCAGTGGTTTGAACATCAACATTCTCAGAACCCTTTTGTCCTTTTATTATTGTCATACACATAACAAATTTTCACATTGTTTTACTTCTAATGACTTTCCTATCAAAATTTCTTGGAATAACCTTCCTTAGGGGAGTCACTTTTTCCAAACATACAGAAGGTCTACAGGCCCTAAAAAACTTAAAAAAAAAAAATTCCCCCACAGGATCCTTTATCTGGTACCTAGTGTGCAGAAGAGTGAAAACCCACAACTGCAACACCAGCATTCTATATCAGGGCACTGGTTTGAGCCTTGGCTGCACTGCCTCCAATTCAGATCCCTGTTAATGTGCCTGAGAAGAGTGGATTATTTGAGCTGGAATATTTGAGCTCCTGCCGCGACGAGGGGGCCCGGATTGAGTTTCCAGATCCTGGCTTCAGTATTGACCAGCCCTGAACAGTTTGGTCACTTGTGGATCAATTACAGGATGGAAGATCTCCCTGTCACTGTGCCTTGAGATAAACAATCAATAAAGCAACAAATTGATTAATTCAGTCTGAATTGAAAGTAAGAAAACATAGATTTTAAATTTTAAAAAGTAATATTAAAGCTTCAGGTTACAAAATTTGATGATGAACAAAATATCTCATACTAACAACACAGGAATAAGCCAGTCAATATTCAGTGTCATTGAAGGATATTTGGATGTATGTACTTCTTGGAATACAGAGGACAACCAAAATAATTTTGAATATTGTTAAGGATGAAGGTAAAATGTGTGTGTGTGATTTTTTTATAGCGATTTCACAATATCTTAAAAAATCTTAAAATTGTTTTCAATGTTTGAGTGACTCAGATTCTTGAAGGTTTTTTAATGAAACTATTTGAAGGAGCAGTCTGAGTGAAATTATATCTGGTAAACTATTTTTTTTAATGAATAGATCCACTTAAGTTTTGTTGCCCTTTGAAATCCACTCTCAGGTTTCCTGCAGCCTGCTCAGTGCTCCAGGAGAGTCACACCAGCAGACGGTCAAGGGCAGTAGAAGAGGGGTCAGTTCGTCCATTCAGCACACTTTGGGATGACTGCATTCCTTCATGATCAGCCATGTCTTCTTTCAGAGGACACTCCACTAGAGAAAATGAGGTTCTCTGGGATTGTATTGCACGTCCATGCTTGGAAGAATTCCGGTCATAACCATCTCTGGTTAGCCACTGAATCCTGCAGACACCATTTGCTACACCATTACCAGTGTGCACTTGAGGATGCTAGATGTTACCTGTGAGCACCTTGATAGAAAATCATGGGGGAACTTGGGAATAAACTAAATGGTTGAGTGAGACTTAGGTGAACTAAATCATCCACTTATGTGGAACACAGTTTCATTCCATGAAGCCATCAGCACTATGCAATTACTGTCTTTAATTGAATATGCTTGAATGTGAAATGCTTACTCCTTTCAAGATATTTTGTTTTTCTGTGAACAAAAGATTTTGGAACAGTTTATGAAAAGAATGAGACAGTCCATCAGAAAACTCCTCATAAGAACATTGGCATTAGATGCCATGTATTCAATTATTTTTTTTACCAAAGCTCAAACAATGAAAAAATTACATTACTCTACTAAATATTCAATCGTTTTAGACAGCCAGAAATGCATTTTCAGCCTGTAGTTTCCTGCCAGCCTGCAGCCGCAGAAATGAATGCCACATGCAAGTTAATGAGGATGTCAGAGGGTCAGCCCACACTAAGTACTTCTCATTTAAATGAAGACATGCAATATTAGAAATACTTAAGTCTACATAATACTTGACAGTTTTTTTTTTATTGAATTATCTCAGGAAAGAGATAGTTGAGATCTAATTGTTGGTCTCTTATGCCTGTGTGTAGGGAGGGCAGAATCAAATTAGGTGTGTGGGTCTGAAGAGGATGTGTTGTAAGGGAGGAATGGAAATGAAATAGCTACCTAAAGGCAAATTATAAAACATATATGCAGTCATTTATCGTAACTTCCACAGTAGAGATCTATGTGATAAATAAATATTAATGAGATACCCAATAAATTAATATAATTTTTTAAATTGAACTGCTTCAATTTTAATGACATTTTTTTTGGTTCATGTAGTAGCTCCAATGTCTTGAAGTGCAT